TCCTCGCCAACCCCCCTCAGCATCAAAATCACCCTAACTCGAGAAATTCGCCGTCGAATTCTTGTCCAACTCCCTTCAGCTTCAGAATCCTCTCTAACTCCCGGAATTCGCTTTCAAATTCCTCGCCCCCCCCCCCCCCCCGGCCCAGATTCAGAATCTTGTCTAATCGAGGAATTCGCTTTCACATGCACCGCCAACTCCTTTCAGCGCCAGAAGCCTCTCTAACTTCAGGAATTCGCAGTCAGATGTCCCGCCGACTCCCCTCGGCGTCAGAATCCCTTCTAACCCCAGGAATTCGCTTTCGAATTTCTCGCCCCCCCCCCCCAGCTTCGGCATCCTCTCTAACTCCAAGAATTCGCTTTCACTCGCCAATTCCTTTCTGCTTCAGCATCCCTCTAACTCAAGGAAGTCGCTTTCAGTTTCCTCGCTTCAGCATCCTCTCTCGCTCCAGGAATTCGCTTTAAAATTCCTGGCCAACCCCCCTCAGCTCCCAGAGCCTGTCGAACTCGAGACATTCGTTGACGCATTCCTCGCCAACTATCCTCAGCTTCAGAAATCTTTCTAACTCCAGGAACTCGCATTCAAAATCCCCTCCAAGTTCCCTCAGCTTCAGACTCCTCTCTAACTCCAGGAATTCGCTTTCAAATTCTTCGCCAGCGCCCCTCAGCTGCAGAAGCCACTCCAACCCCAGGAATTCGATTCCAAATTCTTCGCCAACGCCCCTCAGCTTCAGAATCCGCTCTAAGTCCAGGAAGTCGCTTTCACATTCCTCGCCGACTCCCCTCGGCTGCACAATCTTTCCTAACTCCAGAAATTCGCTTTCAAGTTCCTCGCCAACTCCCCTCAGCTTCAGACTCCTCTCTAACTCCAGGAATTCGCTTTCACATTCCTCGCCGACTCCCCCCAGCTTCTGACTCCTCTCTAACGCAAGACATTCGCTTTCGAATTCCTCGCCGGCCCCCCTCAGCTTCAGAATCCCCTCTAGCTCCAGGAATTCGCTGCCACATTCTTCGCCAACTCTCCTGAGCTTCAGAAACCCCTTGGACTGCAGGAATTCGCTTGCAAATGCCTCGCCAAGCTCCTCAGTTGCAGACTCCTCTCAAACCCCAGGAATTCGCCGTCAATTTCCTCGCCAACTCCCCTCAGCTTCGCAATCCCTTCACAATCCAGGAATTCTCTTTCAATTCCCTCGCCGACTCCCTTCAGCGTCAGAATCCTCTCTAACTCCAGGAATTCGCTTTCGAACTCTTCGCACATTCCCTTCAGTTTCACAATCCCTTCTTCCCTTAGGAAATCGCATTCGCATTTCTCTCCAACCCTCTTCAGCTCCAGAAGCCTTTCTAACGCCAGGAACTCGCTTTCAATTTCCTCGCCAACTCACCTCGGCGTCAGAAGCTATGATTATAGCCAGGAATTCGCTTTCATATTCCTCTCCACCCCCCCTCAGCTTCATACTCCTCTCTAACTCTAGGAATTAGCTTTCAAATTCCTCGCCAACTCCCCATCAGCTTCAGAATCCTGTCTAACACCCGGAATTCGTGGACAAATGCTCGCAATCCTCCCCCAGTTTCAAAATCCTCTCTCCCTCGAGGAACTCGCTCTCCATTTTCTCGCCAGCTCCCCCCCCCCCCCCCAGCTTCAGACTCTTTTCTAACTCCAGTAATTCGCATTCGAATTTCGCGCCAACTCCCCTCAGCTTCAGAATCCTCTCTAACTCCAGGAATGCGCTTTCACATTCCTCGCCAACTCCGCTCAGCTCCTGACTCCTCTCGAACTCCAGGAATTCGCTTTCAATTTCCTCACCAACTCCCCTCGGCTTCAGAATCCTTTCTAACTCCAGGAATTCGCTTTCAAATTATTCCCCACATCACATCAGCTTCGGAATCCACTCTAACTCCAGGAATGCGCTTTCACAGTCCTCGCCGACTCCGCTCAGCCTCTGACTCCCCTCTAACTCCAGGAATTCGTTTTCAAATTATTCGCCAGCGCCCCTCAGCTTCAGAATCCACAGAATTCCCGGCCAACTCCCCTCAGCTTCAGAGTCTTTTGTAATTCCAGGAATCCGCTTTCACGTTCCTCGCCACCCCCCCCCCCCCCCCCCAGCTTCTGACTTCTCTCTAACTCCAGAAATTCGCTTTCAAGTTCCTCGCCAACTCCCCTTCAGCTCCTGACTCCTTTCAAACTCCAGGAATTCGCCGTTAATTTCCTCGACAGCCCCCCATCAGCTTCAGAATCTTCTCTAACTCCAGGAATTCGGTTTCAAATTCCTCGCCGACTCGCCTCCGCTCCAAAATCACCCTTACTCGAGGAATTCGCCGTCGAATTCTTCTCCATCTCCCCACTGCTTTATGACGCCCTTCAACTCCAGGAATTCGCTTTCGAATTCCGCGCCAACTCCCCCCAGGTTCAGAATCCTGTCAAACGCGAGGAACTAGCTGTCAAAGGCACCGCCAACCCCCCTCAGCTTCAGACTCCTCTCTAACTCCAGGAATTCGCTCTTATATTCCTCGCCAGCTCCGCCCAGGAATTAGGTTTCAAATTCCTCGACAACCCCCTTCAGCTTCAGAGTCCTCTCCAACGCCAGGAATTCGGTTTCAAGTTCCTCGCCGACTCCCCTCAGCTTCAACATCCCCCGAACTCGAGGAATTCGCTGTCGAATTCTTCTCCAACTCCCCTCAACTTTATGATGCCCTTCAACTCCAGGAATTCGCTTTCGAATTCCGCGCCAACTCCCCCCAGGTTCAGAATCCTGTCTAACGCGAGGAACGAGCTGTCAAATGCACCGCCACCTCCCCGCTCCAGACTCCTCTCTGACTCCAGGAATTCGCTTTCACATTCCTCGCCAACTCCCCTTAGCGTCAGAATCCTCTCTCACCCCAGGAATTCGCTTTCGAACTTCTGGCCAGCCCACCAGTTTCAGCATCCTCTCTGACTCCAGGAATTCGCTTTCATATTCCTTGCCAATTCCCCTCAGCTTCAAAATCCTCTGGAATTCAAGGAATTCGCTTGCAAATTCCTCGCCAACTTCCCTCAGCTTCGTAATCGTTTCTGCCTCCAGGAATTCGCGTTCAGATTCCTCTCCAACTCCCCTCAGCTTCAGACTCCGCTGTAACTGAAGGAATTCGCTTTCACATTCCTCGCCAACTCACCTCAGCGTCAGAATCCTTTCTAACTCCAGGAATTCGCTGTCAAATTCCTTTCTTCCAACTCCAGGAATTCCCTTTCCATTTCTCTTTATGTTCGGAATCTTTTCTATTTCCAGGAATTCAAATTATATTTTTCTCCAAGTCCTTTAGGGTCCAGGATCCTCTCTGGCTCTAAGGATTCACTCCCAGATCCTTTTCCAACTCACCTTCGATTCAGAAGTCTTTCTTGCTCTCCAGATCCGTTTACAAATTGATTCCTCTCCGCATCCTCATGGGGGTCCACGAAAATAGGATTCGAATCCTTTGGGCTTCAAAAGCGAAAAATTATGCGCGCATCGCGCTTCGCGAGCCCTTCGCCTTTTCCCGGGGGGGTCGGCGCAAAAAGCGCGAATTGATTCGCGGTTCGCGCAGCGCGAAGCGCGAAGTTGGGAACCTTTGGTAAATGACCTGGACAGTGCCCCTGCGCCGTCCCGCCAGACTGTCCTGTGCAGGGTCCGCCCCCTGGGGCCTCCAGGCGACCAGCCCCCGCCCCTGCAGCGGAGCAGGCGATGGCTGCGTCCATGAACTGCATGCGCGGCGACGTCTTCGCTGGCGCCGTCTCGGAGAGCGCTGGGTCCGGCCAGGGCACGGCCACCCTCCAACGCCAGGAGATGTCCTTGTCCACCACCTCGGATTATCGCCCTTGGGGATTGGTGGATATGGAGATCTGTCTGCCCGCGTGGGCAGTCAGGTACCCATATCCACCGCTCCCCGAGTCCCAGCTGCATGACCACGGGGCATTGGATATGGGCATACTCTGACGGCGCACACCAAGCCAGCTCGGCGCGGAATGTCGGTGATGCGCAAGCCATAGACCGCGGTGTCGGAGAGGGCCTCTCGGAGCGGGCTGCACCACTGCGCCGAGAGCTGCACCTGAGTGCTTCCACCAGATCTTGCCGCCATGGACGAAGGGGTCCTGCTGAGGGAAGGGGGCCCTGAGAGTTTTTACGACGTTTCAGGCTTTTGAGCACCCCGCCAGGTTAGGCCACATAGCGAGGCTCCCGCGACAACATCCACAGTATACGTATTTCTTGGACCATCTGCTTTCGCAGCATGCAAGTGATGCCAATGCACTCCGAGCTCGGGGAAGCGAAATCACACACGCCCTGGAGGGCAGACCACCAGTCAAGCGCTATGTGGAGGCCTACGCAGGCCTCCATGGACTTCAGCACGTCCCCGTAGTCTTCGCAACAGTCGGAGACGAGGCGGCGAAGGTCTGAACCGACATGCTCGCGGGGTCGGTCCCGTTCAGGCCGCCCCAGCTGGATTCATAAGACCGTACTGGAGATCACGACGTGGCACGTGGTCATTTTGTTTTGCACTACACTCCGTTCACCTCGACTGCGTTCGAACCGACTGTCAGAGACCTGGCAATGAGTGGGCTTTTGCTGCCGTCATCAGCATGGTCAGGAGGACAAGGTTAACACTTCTTGCTAAGCGGAGCATTCTCCCGGCCATTCGACCGGCAAGCGGCACTCAATGAGGCGGCGTGGCAGCTCGCCCATGCGGTACTGTTGCGGGTGGCGGCGTCGGAAACTGTGACGGCGTCGGCGGTGGAATAGCTTCGTAAACAGCTAGGTGCGCCTGGCAACAGGTGCACCAGGTGCGCCTGTCAACAGAACTATGAGCCACGGTGCAGATGTAGTTGTGGAAGCAAAGGGTGGGGGCGGTTGTATACGGTAAGTTTGCCTCGTGTCGACGCGACGGCGCCGCCGCCGCGGGCGTTCAAGGTTGAACGCCGCCAGTGTTTTTGAACCGGCCGAAATCGAACGCCCTGCGATGCGGGAAAGCTGCGACCGTTACAAGGCTGAACGATCCCACGCGGTGTCAGAAACCAATGCCGAAGTCCTCACGACACGAACCTGCCGTAGTCCCTCTCGCGGCGGTCCGCCCAGCCCCTCTCGATGGCATCCAGTTTGCAGCGATTCGGCGGCACGGTGTGCCTGGCGGCGGGAGGCCCAGTCGTGCGCCAGCCCCACAGCTGTGTGCCTCATGGTTGTGCGCGCCGCATTCGCCACGTCGTTGTGCGTTCGTCGCCGCTTGGCTCAAGGCGCCGCGCTACGTCAGCGCCAGCGTAGGGGGGAAGAGTCCACCGCCCCGCGCGGCCTATTCGAGCAGAGATGGGTCACGGAGGCAACAACGTCATCCCGAATGTGCACTTTCGCAAGGTCAACGGCATGATGGGCCCCGGCCGCTGGAACCGCCACATGATGAAAACCTGGCTGGACCAGGCTGGCCGCAAGAAGCGGCGCGCCCTGAACCGCAAGACGCGCGCGGCGAAGCTGTCGCCCCGCCCCGCCGCGGGTTTGCTGAGGCCGGTGGTGCACCCGCCCACGCAGCGGTACAACATGAAGCTGCGCCTAGGCAAAGGCTTCACCCTCGACGAGCTGAAGGAGGCGAAGATCCCAGTCAAGAAGGCCATGACCATCGGCATCGCTGTGGACCACCGCCGCCGCAACCGCTGCGCCGAGAGCCTGCAGGTCAATGTGGACAGGCTGAAGCTGTACATGTCCAAGCTGCTGGTCTTTCCCCGCAAGTCGGGCAAGAAGGGCGTCAAGAAGGGCGACACACCCAAGTCGGAGCTGCAGAATGTCGCGCAGAACACCCTCAAGGAGATCATCCCGATCCCGAAGCCCAGCACGGAGCTCGAGTCCCGCGCCATCACTTCCGCCGAGAAGGAGGCCTCCGTCTACAAGAAGCTCAAGAAGGCTCGCACCGACCTCAAGTACGACGGCGCCAAGCGCAAGAAGGCCAACGCAGGCAAGGAGGAGTGATGACTCGGCGGAGCCCGGGGCCCGGCGTGCGCAGGCGGCGGGGAAGGGTGCCCGCCCGCCCGATTCGTCAGAAAGAGGTGGCAGCGAGCGTGCGTGGCGAGCTGTCCTCCCTCATGCGTGGACCCGCGCCATGGCCTCCCGTGCAGGGTCTGCTCGAGGTCTGTGAGGAGCTGGTCCTGGGAGTCAGGCTGCACTCGTCCTGGAGGACGCAGGTGCCCGCGGCGCAGCCGCCACCGCGCCAGCGGCCGTCACACGTGACACCTCTCGTCCTCTCGTCTCCACGTCTTGAACAGTCCTCGTGGGGCCTATCTGGGCCATTTTCGGGCTGTCCTGGGCACCTGCGGGGCAGTCTTGCGCTCCCTCGGTGCCCTCTTGGGCTGTCTTGGGGCCCTCCTGTGCCGTCCTGGGGTCCTGTTGAGCCGTCTTGGGGCTTTCGTGGCCGTCCGGGAGTCCCTTGGGCCTTCTTGGGCCGTCCAGGGGCCCTCTCAGGCTCGTAGACTGTTTTCGGTCCCTCTGGAGGCCGCTTCGGGCCAGCTTGGTTCTCTTGGCAACGTTCTAGGCAAAGGGACCCTCTCGGGGCTCTGAGTGGTCCCTTTTGGGCCAGCGAAAACTGCAAGTGGACCGTCCGATCTTCGACCGAAGAGCGCGGAAAGCGAAAAACATGGAAGAGCGTCAGGGACATCGATGTTTGGGGCCCCTTTGATGGGCCTCCTGAACAGCGCCTTTGGGGGTGCTTTGGAGGCCTCTTGGAGGCGGCCTCTTGGGACCTATGGCGCCCCTCGGGGGCTCTGCAATGCGTTCTAAGTCAGTTTTGAGCAATCTTGTCGGCCAGGGCGAGGAGGGCAGCAGTGTGAAAAAAGGCTCATGGGCCAATCGCCCCGCAACCTCCATGCAGCGCGGATGGCCCTCTCAGCGCCGCACACGGCTCGATCTGGCTCGGCTCACCGAATCGCTGCGGTTGACGGTTAGATTCGGAACGCTTCCAGCAACCATTCGATAACGATTCTGATGTGGAGGCCAAGCGATTCGGTATTGGTCCAGCCTGAGGCGGCGCTGCGCCGATGCGATTTCCGATGTTGGTCGGCCTTTGGCAGAGCCTCTCAGAAGGCCGCCCCTCCCCTTGATCGTGCCCCTCCTCCCGCCCCAGTGCGCGCGCGCCGCCAGAGCTCCCGTGCGCGAGAGGTTGCCAGCGGGCATCCGCTCCGTCTCTCCACCCGCAGGGGGGCATGCGCCTCTCCCTGCCGCCCCTGGGCACCTCGGGCACCATCCTCTGCGTGCAGCCGATGGGCTGGCTGTCGCGCGACCCGCTGCGGCGGCATCACGGCAGGCGAGGCTGTCCTCGAGGCGCCACATAGTGGGCCTTTCGCATCTTGCCAGGCGTGATTAATCACCGTCATGGTCTCCAAGTCAACGCACCCCTTCCGCACCACCGATATTTCGCCCTGCCTGCTCTCTCTCCTTGCGCGCGCTGTCCGCCTGCTGTACTGAGTGACTACTTCAGCTCCAGCAGCTATATCTACTTTGGCTCTAGGGAGACGGGAACGGAGCGAGCCTGCGGCGCGCGCGCTTGCGTCGGCCGGCGGGCCGGCCTCCTCCCTTCAGTGTTACCTTAGTGTATGTTTGACGGCAGTATCTCTTCTTGCCCATGTTATCTGCGGAGCCCACTGATCATGATATATCATCGGGACATACTGCAGGGATAATACATATCCAGGCAGAAGACTGGGTATCATCCGAAACGACGGCAAAACCGTTCGCTTCGCAGAGCATGGGATTTCAACAAAGAAATCTTGGGCGAACAGAAGATCGAAGACCTTCCGAGCGTAACGCAAGTATAGCCGCCTCAACGAGGCGACACAATCCTCTTAGCCTTCCCAGTAAGAGAGAATCAGATATTATGTTTGACTTGACAGAATGGGATTCATCGGTTGGTTCAGTGGCAAGATCCAGAGAACAACACTCGAGCGGAAGGTATGGCACAGCCAAAACTTCCGCCGAAGGACCCTCTGAGTTGGTGTCGGCACGCCCTGTCTTTCAGCCATCGATCGACATATATCTCGAACCAGAAAAGTTGATCATACCCCCATCGAAACGTCAGGCGCCGAAAGCCTGGGCGCCGAGCATGCAGCGCAGTATGCGTTGCATGGGCAGAGTGAGGATGCGAGCGTTTTTCAGTCTGAAGGGGATGACCCCCTTTCGATAGAAAAGGGCGAGGAATATGCCCGTGAGGAGGGTCGAGAGGAGGGGGGTCAAGGGGATACCTGCAGGCGCCGTGAGTCTTCCGGCCGGCCGCGATGTCTTCCCCCCCGGAGTGGTGGGCAGCGGTATCTCAGGGTCTGCTTCAGGACCGAAGGAAAATCCTCGACGAGGTGCTCGATCCGATCAAGAAGGATGTTGTCGAGGCGAAGAAGGACATCGTGACCTTGAAGTCCTCGCAAGAAGCCTTGGGCGCCAGGGTCAAGCAGCTCGAGGAGGGCGGGCCTTCCAATAACTCCGGGAGTGATTTCAAACCGACGTGCCCCGAGTTTCAAGTCAAGGACGAAAAAGGCATCACTCGTGCAGAAGCCGTGGGCCTGGTGGAGAAATTGAAGGGGGCCCTCGATTCAAGCATCCAGGAGAATGTCCGAGAGCTTCAACTGTTTGGTCCGAAAAACTACTCCGTCAGGGCCCCGATCACGCCGCAGCATCTCACGGAGGTGAAGAACGCGTGGGCAGCGCGCCTCGCCGAGCCAGGCAATGCGCGGAAGGTGGGGGAGACTCTAAGGGTGCGGCCTCAACGCGCCCCGGCAATCCAGAAGCGGTGCGTCGCCCCAGGCAAAGTCTTCGATTGGGCCGCGAATACGCTCGACGACGCCTACGCGCCGGCCGCCGCGCACTGGGCCCCCGACTTCATAATCGCCATCGTCGCCAGCCAGGAGGAGGGGGGCACGGGAGCGAAGCCGGCGGGCATTCTTTGCGAGGTCCTCGACAGCGGCATCGCTAATTGGGGCTCGAGCAATCTCCCGCTGGCGGGATGGGCGCCGGAGCGCGCCAACACGGCGGTCGCCGAATGCCGGCGCCGCCGGCAGTGGCGGCGCCCACGACAGCCCTTGAATTCGAGCGGCTTGGGGGGGGGCCCCCCGGTAGTTGGCCGCACCGTTCGCAAACAGAGATCGCCGGAGGCGCCCTTGATTTGCCGGAGCACGCGGCGCCTAGGCGCGGATTCGTCGATTGTCCGCTTGCGGGAGGCGCCGCGCTGGACCACTGGTCGGCCACTCCTGAAGGGTAAATTCGTTGCGCGCACTGGCCGCGCCAAGGCGGACGAGACTGCCGACCGTGAGGGGTTCGATTGGTTTTCTCATTCCTGGGGGCCTGAGCCCGCGTATTAGAGATGCGCAGTTCGGCCGTTGCTGGAGCGGAGTGGTCTTAGCAATGGGGCCATTTGGTTTCATTTTGTTTCTCGGCGTTCATCTTTTTCACGCAGCTCGCGAATGTCAAAGTGACCTTCTCGGGGAAGCGCATGCAGACGCCGCGTTGTATTGGCAGAAGTGCAAGCGCATATTTTCCTTTCATATTTTCCGTCGCCGTTGGTCTCGGCGCGAACGTCGCGCCGCCGGCAGGCGCGCCGGGCGTCGCAGGGCCGGCGGCTGCTACGTCGTTGAAGTCGCACTCATTCCATGCAGCGCCGTGTCTCGGAGTGGCTGGAGCTTCTGAGGGCGCGGGCTATCAATCGTTATGGTAATTATTATTCGCGTCGCGAATATGGGCGTACGGACTCAAACGAAGAGTATCAAAACGGTCTCAAATCGACTACGTGGCCGTCTCCACCGACTTACAAGGCACTGGTGAACCGTCGAATCATGTGGATGTTTTTCGCGAGCCATCCCTGAGCAAGAAAATGGATCATCGACCTGTTACCGCCCAGTTGAGTTGGCAACCGACTATGCCTTCCCAACGGCGGGGCAACGCGTCGGCGCATGCAGAAGTTCCGCGCGGACCCTCCAAGGGTGGCTTCCAGGACATTGGCGTGAAGTACGGTTTCCAACAGTGCGTGGCGAGAGATTCTTTCTCGCGTCTGGATTTGGGATCTTATGAGCAATGCTTACAGGAGGTAGATCGGGAGTTCTTCACACTGGACACCGGCAGCAAATAATCCAAAGCTCGAGCGACATGCTGGATCCAAATGCGAAGTTTGAGACATGGGATGCGGATGGAGATCGACCCAGCTCGCCAAGAAGCTCTGCGCCGATTTTTCTGTCAGTTTTTTCCATGCCTTGTCCAAGTTGAATGCGGACGGCAAGATGCGCAATCTGAGCTTGAACAGGCGGCGAGATCGACCTACCAGTTTTTCAGAGTTGGCGATCGCATCACGGGCGACAGAAGAATGGATGCAATATGGATTCAAATTCGGACGTAAACGATTTGGGGACACTGCTAACCAATCTGATTCGCAAGTCAGGCGCTACGAGCTGCTAGCGCATATCGGACCAAACGGCTGCTCGGATGGGCTTGGACGGCTTTTGGAGTTCTGGGGCACTTTGCACGCAAGGGCAAAACTTCGACCCGACTCCGCGGCTGGGATCGATGGAGTGACGCCGGATGTTTTCAGAGAGCTTCCGCATGAAAGCCGCGGTTCGGTCCGGTTCGGTTCGGTTGGATGTGCGACTGGTTCGGTTCGACCGGTTCCGGTTCGCGTCGCGAACCGTCTCGGTTCGACGGGTTCGGTTCTTTGTCGTAGACCGGTTCGGTCCGACCGGCGGTTCGGTTCGGCCGGTTCGGATCGACCGGTTCGGTTTTATGTGTTCCGACCGGTCCGGTTCGGCCGGGTCGGTTCGGTTGGTTCGGCCGGTTTGGATTTACGCAGAGGCGATTCAGCCCGTGGGGGTCCGGGCCGGGGGGGGCCCGGACCGAGGGGGCCCGGGCCGGGGGGGTCCCGGGCCGGGGGGCGGTCCGGACCGAGGGGGGTCCGGACTGGGGAGCCCGGGCCCCCCCCGGGGGTCCGGACTGGGGGGGGTCTGCGGACGGGGGGGGGTCCGGACCGGGAGGGGCCGGACCCCCGGGGGTCGGGGACAGTCCGGACCGGGGCGGGTCCGGACTGCGGGCTCTTCTTGGG